CCACATATTAAAATAATTGTTTGATCATTTATATTCAATATTTTATAACAATGATCACAATTATTGAATAAGGGAGGAAATAGTGTGCTATATCTGGTTGGCATACTTGTTATGTCTATTTCACCTAAAGTAGGAAGATTATATGAGGTGGGTAATTCTTTTTTTTTTCATCGTTTTAATGGAGATGGAATTTTACTACTGACTAAATTAGTTTCTTCGTTTTTTCTGTAAATTTCTTGAAATTGTGAAATAAGAAAAATACAGGTTTTAGTAGTTAAAATTTTCAGATCTCGTGGTGAATACGGGTAACGTTTTGTAGTTGAAAACATCTCACGGAATGCTGAATATTTATGAAAATCTAAAAGATAAGCCTGTTTTTTGTATATTGTCAGCAGCATCTTTTGAAGATGTTGTAGCACGTATTCTACTATGCATGTTTTTGACCCAATAATCGTTAAATTGAACTAAATTTTTTTAATTGCTTTTCTCATTGGATGCTCAATTTTTTCCCAATAGAATAGGTCTGATAAAAATGCCAATGGAGCCTTATTATAATTTTTACGATGCCATCGCAAGGCGAAGGTCCATATACGAAAAATTGTTTTTATGTAATTATTGAAGGATCCAGATCGAAATAACAAAGCATATATATTGAGGGAAGCAGGTACGATATTGTCCAACAGCTCTATAATAACCTGATACTTGATATTTTTTTGTAAAAAAATAAATTTTTTTACAATATGCTCTTTAATCTCAATCCATGCAGTAAATGCCAATTCGAGTAGAAGATTCGTTCTCCACGGTCTAGGTTTTTTGGCCAAAATTTTTCTTTCTCCAAACACAAAATAAAAGAGCTTTTCGAAGAATGGGTAATAAATTTTCATTACCTGCTCTTTTGTATTAAGAGCGACATGCAAGGGCCCAAGTAAAGGAACAACCGATACAATTTCTTTCGGTATTGAATTTTCATTTTTTTTATAAAAATGGGTAAGTGCTTGACGAATATAACGCTGACCCGGCCAGTCAGCAACAATCGGCACTACATTACCATCAAGATGACCTATTTCTTTATTATAGTCGAAAACAATATTTAATGCATTTAGGTAATCTTGCATGGAATGTAGCTGTTGTTCCTTTACTCCTACTAACATTGCACCTTTCATTTTGTGCTCTTCCTTTCGTTCCTCGATGGTATTATCGTAAAAATGGATTGAAAGCTGTTTGATTCTATCAAAATTAGAAAAAGAACTATTCCATTGAGCCATCTGTCGTGAATACAATAAATCGAAGCAATACTGATATTGGTTAATAAGTTTTTCACAAACAATAGAAGCGTCAATATTATTGGAATTATGAACAGACTTATTATTAAACATAATTGGTACAGGATCGGATTTTTCAACACTTTTAGCCACACATGTCGCTAGGTGAACTGCACTCAAAAGAGATGTGCAATCTGGACGTCGATTTTCATGGATGTTATGATAATTATCCAGGTTGTATATGCATAGATTATTTTTGTTTTCATCGAAATATTTTTTTACTCTTATCGGATGTTCATCAGCAATTTTTTTTTTGTAGTTATATATGGTCTGATGAGTAACTGATACTCCAGCACTACTTAATGCATTAATTGCATCGCAAGTTACTCCAGATCCTGCAAGATACAAAGCAAGCTCCAGTTTAAAATTATTAACATGCTTATTACATATTCCCACCATTAAGTATAAGATTGCAACAATTTTTTTTCGATCTTCTTTTTTATTATAAGGTGAGCGGTCCTGCGGTATTAATATAGCACACATATCAGCAAA